ATTAGTCGGAAAATTGCATCGGAACCAATAAAACTCATCATCAATATCCATTAAATGCTCGATTATATCCACACACACATCAAATTAGAATTAAAGCATAGTGTACATGTGAGATTAAATTCCGGATAACATGTATTTGGTTCATGAGATGCTTCAAAAGTCGATTTAAAATCAATCGAAACCACCACAAATATCAAGCAAATACCAAGTGCAAACCAAATGTACAAGGTGCCATAGGTCATGGGTTCGAGCCTTGGCGTCTGTCTTTTGCATTTTTTCTCACATTTTTGCCATTTTTTGTTACTTTGCAGCGCTGGTCTTTTTGTTTCATTGGGCTTTGTGATTTTTTCTAACATGCTACCTCATGTTTACTTGCAGCACCCCTGGCCCATATAATTTTATTTATTTATTTTGTTTTCATTTTATTTTCTTAAATATATTTTTCTTAATATTAAAAATCATAAAAAATATAAAAATGATAGATTTATATTTTAGCTTATTTTATTTTATTTTTTCTCACAAAAAATATTTTATTTAGTAATATATTACCTATTTTATTAAATAAACCTTGTAAATTAAATTAGGACTAGTTTAATATTTATTTTTCTTTATACTCATTAAATATTTATTTTACTATAAAAAAGAGACCAAAATATCTCATAGGGTCATATTTTATTTTCAAGACAAAAATATAAAAAAATACTTACTTTTTCTTAAAGAAATTTATTCTCTTTTAATCAAATAGAATTAGGGTTTATTCAAAAATCTTTTTTCTAAAAAATATTTTCTTTTCTTAATTGATTTAAGATTGATCTTGATTTATTTATTAGGTTTAGGTTAAACCTTTTTCACATAAAAACCAAACAAAATCTTATTTGCATTTACATACCTTTGCATATTTAATTCATTTTTGTATATTATTTATTCCAATATTTGTACATATTCAATTTGATTGTAATAGCTTAATTAGGTTTATATTATTGCAAATCCCCATTCATAAATTGTATACCCCCTCCCACAAATGTTGTAATAGCGTAGGACATTTAAATTTCGCAATTTATCGCTTTTATATAACATGCTAGTAATTAGGGTTTGTATGGCAAGATAAAATCAACCAAATAGAAAACCCTAATCCAAGACAAAATCAAGCATGAAAATGACACGCTTGCACACGAAACACCGCTAGGGTTATCCCACTTGGTTGCCTTACAAAAATGGCCATATTACGCATGTAAGGTGTCTTGGCAAAAACAAACAAATACAAGATCATAGTCCCTCGATGACGCTATTCAAAGTTGCCTTATAAAATGATCTTAGTCCCTAAAAAATGCTAAGATACCTTATAAACATTTCTAATCATGGCTATACGATGACCCACACCCGTCCCGTTTACATTCAAAGATAGGGTTGCTTACCAAATCAATGGTAAGACAACAATATCAAAGGAAAAGAAAATGAACAAGAAAGACATTTGAGTAGGTAGATTACTTTTAGTTACTTGCTCCATTTCAAAACAAATATCCTTGCAATTTTCAAAATAAACACACACATTTCCAAACATCTTACAAAATTGAAAACATTTTCAAAAAGATCAACATCTTTGTATACATTCTTACGAAAGAGAACCATTATAAAGATTGTCTAAACAATGGCCTCTTTTACAAAATGCTTTCAAAACCACACAAAAGCACAATTTCAAACAAAAGCAAGTGATCTAGCAAGTAACTAAGTGCCCATGGAAAACCATGGATGAAAAGGGTGCTAATACCTTCCCTTTTCATAATCTACCCCCAAACTCAAGAAACAATCTTAAAGGTCTTTCCTTTTCTTTTTCACCTTTCCTTTTGGATAAAAGAAAAGTCGGTGGCGACTCTTGCTAACCGCAACATTTACGTTCAAACGCAAAACAATCAAGTCAGTTCTTCCACCGCATCATACTTTGTAGCCAAATTATTTCCTTTGTTCATCTTTGTTCATGTACGCTGAAGCTCAAACAGATCTCACCAAAACAGTCGTGTTTCCCGATCCCTCAAAATCAAGAAATGCAATTTTGTTACGATTCTGATCGTGAATTTAAATCAAATTCAAGAAATAAAATCAATAACACACGCTTTATGTACACTCGTGTTTTATTTTGAGTCGAACCGGAGCTCTAAATACCAATTGTTGGAGCATAACGTTGAAGATAAAGATGAAGATGAAAGAAGAGAGAGAAAGAGAAGAGAGAGAAAACAGTTGTAACAAACTTTTAAAGAGAGAAACTCTTTACTTTGAAAAAACTAATTATGAAATTGTTTAAATACACAACGAAATCAAATGCTACATAGGCAAATCTAATGCTAAAACAAAACAGACCCCATAAGCTTAACACCCTTCTGGAACAACAACCTCAGAAGCTTCTACTTATGAGTCAAAAGACTACTTCTGAATATTAAACTTCTGAATATGAATTACTTCTAAGAACCGGAAATCTTTTCTACAAAAGCTTTTACCTCCCATAAATCTTCATTTTCCTGTTCTTGATGTTGTTATTGTTAAGGATTCTACATCCAATTTGATTATGATGGTGTGGCGGTGTTAGGGTTTGACTGAGATTTATTTTGAATTTGAGATTGTAATTGACCTGATTTATGAATCTGAGTAGTGATGATAAAAAGAGAAATAAATGGATTTTGTATTTTGTTGGGGAAGTTGAGTGGTGAGAAGATGAAGAAGATATGTAATAAATAATTTTTATGGGGCATTTAAACAAAGTGAATCGCCTAGCCTTGAGAAGATGAACATTTGTTCAAATCTTGTAAGGAGCAAAATTTTGGTTTTTTTCCCTCATGCTTTTGTGAGTGCAACTACACTATTAGATGTTTTGCATGATGTTAAAACTCAGAAAGTTAGTATTTCAATATGGTGAACGGTATCCTTATGTCTTGTGGCACTCTCCTACATTAGAGGTCTTATGAATCATTTAAAACAACTTTAAAATTGGTCCAAATCATGAAAAATCAGTTTTCGTACAAAATCAACATTTATGTGTCGACCTGAAATTTGTATGAGTCGACACATAAATTCTGCATTTCTGCATTTTTCTAAAAGCTTCAGTATGTGTCGACACATAACTTTTTCAGGCCGACACATGTACTGCAATATTAAAGCTTTCAGAATTTCTACTTTAAAATACATGCACATGTGTCGACACATACGATTTTCAGATCGACACATGTACTACATTTTTAAAGCCCGTAGCTACTATTTTGCATGTGTCGACACATAATTTTTTCTGGTCGACACATACTGTTTTATGGGTAATTTTTTCATTCTGAAACTACCCTCTTTTACTTAAAAAGAGCCCAACTATAAATATATCATTCGTGCATCATTCTAACTTGATGATACCATAAAATTAGTCTACATTTCCTCTTCTTCTTCAACTTTCCAATCTATACATACACACCAACATTACATTGTAATGATGTTCCGTCGGGGTGCCATCTAGATGAAGAATTATGGATTTCCAATTAGTTTGGGTTGAGATTTGTAGGGTCTTCATCCGGAAAAACCATCGGGTTTCTCCTCCAGAATCATTTGCTGAATTGAGGTTTTTTGTGCAAAATCGTACAAGAAGGAATCGTCCATGTGAAAAATCCCTTGGAGTGTTTGAAATCTTTTCAAGGATCCTTAGAGTGTTGAATCTTTTTAAGAAAGTAGCAAGAATTGGATGATAGAATCGGTGATCTTATGTTGATAGTGTGCAATCGAATTTACTCGAGTGAAAAATCTCTTAGAGTATTTAAAATCTTTACAAGGAACCTTGGAGTGTTTGAAATCTTTTCAAGGAAGTAACTTAGCGGCGAATATGTTGCATCTATCAGTATTGGTCTTATTGAAGATCAAAAGAAGAGAATAAGTTGAATCGACATCAAACGGTTATGTTTTGTATAGTTCTCTTGAACACTTCTCTTGTACCATATTTTTGAAAAGTAAGAAATTATCCTAATTCAACATTTGGAATTGGGGGGAGATGTAGCCACAGCGAAGACGATTGGTGAACTTCCTAAACAAATCTTTGTGTCTCTTTTCTTTTATTTTTTTACTGCTTTAATCTTCATACATTGATTTGTCAAATAGCATTGAGTAATTTATCGACGCGTAGGAATTTTCTGAAACTGTTTTTGTTTTGAATTGTGTGTTGAGTTGTTTATAATCACTTTTGAATATAAGTGTTTTTTTTCATATCAACATAACACAAAGGAAAATTCCTGAAACTCTTGTTTAGCTTATTTAACTTAAAGAAAATTGTAATGTCCTATCTGTTACTTTCATTTACTCTTTATATGCAATGTGTTGAATGTGTTGTTTGATCGATTGATTTGTATAGAAATTCTCTTTGATTATGAAAGTTTAAATTGCTTTGTTGATTAGCTTATAATCATTTTGATTGTAAGTGCTTTTGCACATTAACAAATCTCAAAGAAAATTCTGAAAATTGATTGCGCGTCACATATTTGATAAATTATCATGTTATATTTTAATATGATTTCATTGGAAATATGAAACTGTGTGTTGAATATTAAATGGTTAACTGAGATATTATTATGTTGATTGATTTTATTATTATCTTATACATATATATTGATTGATTTTTAGTAATTATAATGAAAGATAAAAACTTGATTAATAAAAGTTATAAAATTAATTATCAAATAATTTTGTTTTTCTACTCTCTCAATCTAAAAAACAGTAAAAAAAATTTTTTTTTTAAAAATATTTTTAATTATTTTTAAACATTATTATAATATTTCACTATTTCAATGTATAGGTGAACAATGAAATACGGTATCAAATCATACTTTTGATTCAAATTCTTTTGTCGATAATGTCATATCTTAAATCAATCATCAAGAAATACTTCCGTATGAAGAGCACAAAACTCACAACGATGTTTACCAAACATTAGATGATTTTCATATTTAGAGAGGTATTTCACCAGAATATGAATGAAGTAGTCAAGTCTGTGTGTGAGCAAAATAATTTTGTTCAAGACTTGTGCCTAATGCTCCTGTCAAAGGCACGGAAGGAATAGCATCAGTATAGCACTACTAAAAAAATATCCAATATTTTTTAAAGCCTATGGCTCAAGTTGTTTAAACGAAGGTTTTTGAATTGATATAGTTAACACAGAAAAAACATTGGTAACTGCTTAGATTCAAAACTTTCAAAACAAAAATACAAAGAAAAGGTTAGAAATGAAGAAACAAAATAGGAATATAGAGCATATAAAACAAATGTTTGCAAAATTAAAACAAGTAAAGTGAAATTGAATGTCTGAGATCCAAATTGCCAAAGCACTTACACAACACCATATAAAATAGGCACACAAATCCTAAAGATGAACATACTTCAAAAACTAGATAAATAACAAACTTAAGACATAAAGTAATTAAGGATGTTGAATGAGCGAATCGTTCGGTTGTTCCTGATGGCATGGCATCCCATAGCGTAAATGACGTAACAAGTACAAGCACAATAGCATTAAACACAGTTAAATGTCTCCATTGGTTCCTTATATTAGCCAACACTCCTCCTTTGCATGCATTGCATTCGTAACACAGTTTGTCTTGTCTATTATTCCATGTCGCACAATCAGAGTTATTCGCAGCCAAACCCGACTTGGGCACTTCCCAAAACGTAGCATTCTTCATCGTAAATCCACAATACTCGGGCGGCTTACAGCACCCGGCCTGCAAAGATGATAACAAATGTTACAAAATTTTATGCAGTTTTATAAAAATACATCGAAATGGAAGTTAGAAAAACCTGGGTGGTGGACAAGTGTTTGAAGATGAGAGAGTCGTTATTCCGACCCACCATTAACGGCGAGATTCTGACAAACATGAGCATCCATCAAACAACTCTTGAACTCATCCCAATTCTCTTCATTCACAACATAATGTTGCAACCAGTGAGAGAAATCAGCGACTTTATACTCACCATATCCTTTACCAGATATCTGTTTTCCCACTCCTCTATTGGTCACAAACAGAGCAAACACCGTGAAGAAAGCAAGTCCCACCACAACCAAGAATGTCACCAGAAGGTAACTGGTAGAGTGCTTTGTTGATTCCAAACAGCGATCCCGCGATTCCAAGTCCCGACACGATGACGACGAATATGCCGCCGATTAGAGTGGGTACTCAAGGACCTTTTGACAGTCGGAACCGCCGCGATGTGGATGTAGGCGGAGGAAGCAATGGCGGCGAGGCCGAGGAGTAAAGAGAGGATGTTGAGTGCACCGACTACGGTGTTGCTTATCGGGAAAACGGAACATTTTCATGTTGAGTTTTTTTTGTTGAGGAAGAAAAGAAATGGTAACTGTTTTATATAAGTGAGGGTGGTTTTTTGGAGCGAAAACGGTTAGAGTGGAGTTTGAATGTTTGTAAGATTGCATATGGATTTCTAGTTATTTACGTATGTGCCATTCCATTAGTTGTCGTAGCCTGCCACGTCAGCGATAATCCGTTACACTATGGTGGCTCCACTACTAGAGTGGGACAGTTACACTATGTACCTTCTAACAAATCACATTCTTACATATAACAATTGTTCATCTATCATCTCAAGAGTCTCCTATAATTAATATTTAACTTGATAATAATATTTGCATAAGAAATTTATGCTATGAGACTATGGTAAGAGGTTAGCATAATGAAGAAATTTTGTTATTTTCTTTACCTCTAACTGAACTACTGGAAGTGAGTCAGAATACACATGATTTTTCTAAAGTCTGTGTTTTAACACAAAGTAATTCTAGTTAATATAGCTTAAGTTTCGGCATGTAAAATGTTTGATAAGTTTATACTATTATAATAATCGAATTGAAATCCACTAGACAATCACAATATGTTTGTTCCGAGTGTTAGACGATCGATTATGATTTAGAGGGAAAGTGAATAGATCGCAGTTGAATTTTTTTAATAAAAATATGTTTTAAAAAAAGTTTACTATGACGCGCAGAAATTAAATCTGGATAGACAATCGTCTATCTGAACTGTTATCTAAAAGATCGAATATGCGTTAAACCGATAGTAAGATGATAAAAATAATTGATATATTTTCAGCAACTAAGTTTGAATTTAAATCACACAAAGTAATCTATTTCTAATAAAAAATCAAATGAAAATTGATATAAGGAATTTGTCAAACACTTGGTGCAATC